ACGAGGCGAAGCTGCGTGGGCGCGCGAGAGGAATGATGCCGCTGTGGCTAGGGGCTGGAGTCAGTTGCCCGCCCCTCCCCCTCCCTGGCGCGCGGTGGCCAGGTGTGTCGCGTCGGAGGCGCGCGGTGTCCCGTCGGTGTCCCGTCGGTGGCGCGCGGCGGTGTCCCGTCGATGGTGCGGGGCGTCCCGTCGATGGCGCGGGGTGTCCCGTCGGCGGCGCGGCGGTGAGATCGATAGTGACATCGATGGTGAGATTGCTAGAGATATCGGTTGTGGGATCGATCGTGTGATCTGTTGTGAGATCCATCGTGAGACCTGTTGTGAGATCGATAGTGAGATCTCTTGTGACATCGGTGATGAGAGATCGCTGGTGAGATCCATAAGTGGGATCGACAGTGAGATCTATATCAAGATTGATCGTGAGATCGATTGAGAGATCGATTGTGAGACCGATATTGAGATCGAGAGTGATATCGATTGTGAGATCGATAGTCAGACCGATAGTGAGAACTGTTGTGAGATCGATCGTGATTCCGATTGTGAGTTTGATTGTCAGATCGATGATGAGATCGATTGGGAGATCGATCGGGAGATCTGTTGTGAGATCGACTGGGAGATCGCTTGTGAGATCAATAGTGAGTTCGATTTTCAAGTCGATAGTGGGATCGATTGTGAGATCGATAGCGAGCTCTGTTGTGAGAACGGTTGTCAGATCGCTTGTGAGATTGATTGCTTGAGCGATAGTGAGATTTGTCGTGAGATCATTCGTCAGATCTGTTGTGATATCGATGGTGCGATTTGTTGTGAGATCGATGATGAGATCGATTGTCAGATCTATAGTGGGATCGACTGATATCGATACAGAGATCGATAGTGAGGTCGATAGTGAGATCGATTGCGCGATCGAAAGTGAGATCGAGAGACCGATAGTGAGATGGATAATGAGATCGTCCACAACAGATCTTTGGCTGGGGGTGCCCCGCCGTGGCTGGGGGTGCCCCATCGTGGTGTCCCGATGGTGTCTCGTAAGATCTGTTGGGAGATCGATAGTGGGATCGAAAGTGAGATCGATTGTGAAATCGGTAGTGAGAGCGATCGAGAGGAATGATGCCGCCGTGGCTAGGGGCTGCGGAGCCGGTTGTCCGCCACTTTCCCCCCGGCGCGCGGTGGCCGGGGGTGTCCCGTCGGTGGCCCGTCGGTGTTCCGTCGGTGTCCCGTCGGTGTCCCGTCGGTGGCGCGCGGGTGCCCGGGGTACCCCGTCGGTGGCGCGGCGGTGCCCCGTCTGTGGCGCGGCTGTCGGTGGCGCAGGGTGTCCCGATGGTGGCTCAGGGTGTCCCGCCGTGGTGTCTCGATGGTAGCTCGTGAGCTCTGTTCAGGCGGCACGAAGCACGCCGCTCCTGCCCTGAGCACGCTCCGCCGCGCTGCAGCCCGAGGCGTCCCCGTGCCAAGAGGCACCCCAGACGGCGCAGCCTTGCACGAGGAGAAGGCGACCGCGCCGCATGTGCATCGCGTGCCGAGCGACGAGGCCTCGGCGACACGGCATGTGGCTGACTCCTCACGTGATTCCGAGCGCGGCACATGCTGCGCCCATCGCTCGTGAGATCGAGATATCGATAGGGAGATCGATCGTGAGATCGATAGGGAGATCAATCGTGAGGTCGACAGTGAGGTCGACAGTGAGATCGACAGCGAGATGTCCCGGTTGTGGCCACTTGGTATCCCAGGCACCTTGCGGCGAAGGTTCCTGCGCCATCGTTACCATCACGTTCGTCGGAGGCGAGGGGGTGAGATCGCAGTGGAACGGATAGCCCCCCACCAGTGGCATCGTCGGGGGTGCCCCGTCGGTGGCGCGGGGTGTCCCGACGGTGGTCTGGGGTGTCCCGCCGTGGTGTCCCGATTGTAGCTCGTGGGATCTGTCGTGAGATCGATAGTGAGGTCGAGAGTGAGATCGATTTCGTGATCGATAGTTAGATCGTGAGATCGATATTGAGATCGATCACAACAGATCTTTGGCTGGGGGTTGCCCCGCTGTGGCTGGGGGTGCCCCATCGTGATGTCCCGATGGTGTCTCGTAAGATCTGTTGGGAGATCGATAGTGGGATCGCAAGTGAGATCGATTGTGAAATCGATAGTGAGATCGTTAGTGGAATCGAAGCGGCTCTATTGGTCGGCCACTATGCGTTATCACCATCAGCGTCATCGTGTATTGTCGCCGTCTTTCGAGCGCAACGCCAGCATCGTCGCCATCAAAATCATCGCAGTTGTCGTCAGCGTTTTCCCCCCAAACCTCCTTATCACCCGAAGGGTGGTCGTATAGGTATATACATATGCATGTATGCATGTATGTATGCATGCATGCATGCATGTATGTATGTATGTATATATGTATGCATGTATGCATGTATGTATATGTATGTATGTATATATATATATATATATCTGCATGTCAACATGTATGCATGCATGCATGTATGTACGCATGCACGTATGTATGTATGTATGTACATGTGCATGTAGGTATGATTGTAATGCGTGCATGCGTGTATGTATGTATGCATGCATGTATGTCTGCATCTATGTGTATGTATGCATGTCTGTATGTATGCGTGTATGTCTATATGTATGCATGTATGTATGCATGCATGTATGTATGTATGTATTCACGTATGTATGTATGTATGTATGTATGTATGTATGTATGTATGCATATATATATATATATATATATATATGTATGTGTATTCCTGTATGCACATATGTATGTATGCATGCACGTACGTACGTACGCATGTATGTATGTATGTACGCATGCATGCATGCATGCATGCGTGCCTGGATTTATACATGTGTGTATGTAGATATCTATGTGTGTATGTGTATATGTATGTATGTATGTATGTATGTATGTATGTATGTATGTACGTATGCCTGTTCAGGTATGTATGTATGTATGCATGTATGTATGTATGCATGTATGTATGTATGCATGTACGTATTAATGCCTGTATGTATGTATGTATTTATGTATGTGTGTATGTATGTATGTATGTATATCTGGATGTATGGATGTATGCATATATGTATGTATGTATGTATGTAGGTATGTATGTATGTATGCATGCATGCATGTATGTATGGTATGTATGTTTGTCTATATGCATCTATGAATAAACTGGCCTTCGGCCAATCTCGCTACCGTGCGCCGTGAAGCCGAAACGTAAGGCATGCTAAACATATACGTTGTTCTGGCGGGAATTTGACGATTGTTACCTCTCGGGGCCCTCTTGGGAGGCCTCTTGGACCTCTCTTGGGGCGGCTTGGGAGCCGCTTCAGCCGTCTTCAGGCCAGCTTGGACGTCTTGGACCGATCGTTCGGAATCCGGGCCCTCTTGTACCGTCTTAGGCCCGTCGTGGCCCGTCTTGGGAGGCAAAGGACCTGAGGACAATCCAACTCGTGCCTCAGGACACGGTTGCCGATACCAACACACGTATGCATATATGCACGTATATATCCATATACACGTGTATATATATATATGTATGTATATATGTATATATATATATGTATGTATGTATGTATGTATGCATGCATGCATGCATGCATGTATGTATGTATGTATGTATGTTTGTATGTATGTATGTATGTATGTATGTATGTATGTATGTATGTATGTATGTATGTATGTATGTATGTATATATGTATATTGTTTTCTTCATCTATTTATATGTATCGTCATAATCCTCCCTGTCAGTTGTCTCTTGTTTTTTTTCATGAACCGCTCGGTCGCATTGTCTTTTGGCTACTCCAGGCGCTGTCTGCCGTGGGCGCGGGGTTCGCCATCGGCCTCGCCGCCATCGGGTCGGGCGTCGGCCAGGGCATCGCCTCCGGCCGCTGCATCGACGGCATCAGCCGCCAGCCCGAGGCAGGGCACATTCCGATTCCATCGATCCGATTCGATACCGAGTTCACCCGCCTCGATCCGGTTCGATTTCGATGGTCGGACGCTTCGATTCTGCCCGATGTTTGCCTGACTCTGTCGTGTATCCCGGCAATGCCGACCCGGTTCGATTTCGGCGCTCAGCAAGCGGCGGAGACATACACTCTAGGCTCTCCGCGCGAATTTCTCGGGTCGGCGCTGGAGCCCCCCCTGGCGGCGCCTCCGGTGCCGCCCCTGGCGCGCGGAGCGCACCAGGGAGTCAGGGAGGGGGTTCCAGCGCACATCCGAGAAATCCGCTCGGAGCTCTGAAAGTTTTTGTCTTTGCAGTTTTTTGTTCCTCCATGAGGTCGCCGACGATCTCCGCGGCGTTCTGCTCCTGTCCCTCGCCTTCATGGAGTCGCTGACGATCTACGGGCTCGTCATTGCGCTGGTGCTGCTCTTCGCCAACCCGCTGATCAAGTAGGCCGAGGTTCCAGGATCAGAGGTGAGTCGGATGCCTCCCTGAGGGCGGGACAGTTTGATAAGACTCGCGTATGTGGGGAAAATGTTTGGCTCTCCAGAGTGCTGTCCAGTCAGATGCAGCAGCGAAGCAACATCGAACGCACCAGAACCTCCACCCAGGCTAGTCCGCGTTTGTACCGTTTAGTTTTCGGTGGACTCGCACACAAGCGTATTCCCTCAGAGTGTTCTGTTTCGTTGAAAGGGATTGCCTGAAAGGGTTCCCGGCTCAAGTAAGCATCCCAGCTCACATCCGATACCCTTACTCCACTTTCCCTATCCTCTTACTTACATTCTCCACCATATTATTTCTTGCTTCTGGTTGCTTAAGCTTGCAGGGAATGCCGGAAACACCAAGTAAGCGTTCGACGGCTGGGGCATCCACGGGGTTTACTCCTCAGAGGCAGTCCAGCAGGGCGCTCGAGGACGCGATCAACGTCGACTCCGCGTCCGACGTCGCTGAGGAGGCCATCGAAACAGCTCCGCCATGGTTCAAACAATTCGAGGCAAGGCAAAACAAACGCTTCGACAGGATCACTGAAAAAGGTAAACACGTTGAAGGGGATGCTCAGGGAGGTCAAGGAGGAGGTCGAGGAGGCGAAGCAGGCCGTGAATACCATCACGGAGAGGGTGGAGGATTTGGAGATCGATATGACAAGCGTGAGGGCGGACATGGAGTTGTGCGTGACAAGTGACTCCTTGAAGGGGCAGGTAGAGGAGATCGTAAGGAAGACGCTGGCGGACTACCTGCGCGGAGAAGGTGGGGGAACAGGGAATGGCAACATGAACATCAGGACCGGGAGTACGGGAGGTGTCGATGAGGGCCGGGCCATGCAGGTTGTCGTACTCGGATTCAAAGAGAAAGCAGAAGCGAAGATCATCAAATAGAGCGTGGAAACCATGCTCAAGGGCCTTCTCGGGGACGGTTACACAGCGCAGGTGGACGCAATCGGAGACCTGGCCAAGGTGGGCATCATCACTTTCAAGAGTATCTCCGACAAAACCGATTTCTACAAGAAGGTGCGCAACAACCCGAACAAGTCCATAGTCGGGGATCTGTTCTTCCGCAACAACCTGACGAGAGACGAGCGGGCCAAGGAGAAAAAGTTGGGGTACACAAAGCACCACATCACGAACGAGGGGGGCCAGTCGGACGACGACGTCAAGATCCTGTGGAGGAAGGACATGGTCACGGTGAAGGGGAGGAAGGTGATATGGTTCGACGAGGAGGGCACTTGGAATGTGAGGACTGTGGCGAAGAGGGTGGAGGGGAATATTGAGGAGCCCATGAAGAACTGGTGGAAGATGATCGGCCCGGAACCAGCCGCAGATAGTAACTGACGGTGTCACAGGCCTGGAATCGAGTTCGAGATACACAGTGCGCAGAACTATTCGGATACATCTGCACACAACACTCTGCATTGCAGAATTTGTGTTTACACTTGCAGCCAAAAGCGCCGAATTGTTTCACAACCCTTTCCTACAACATCCACTCGTTTATGAATTTTGATGAGAGTTATGGCGCTATCTTTCACGAATTGCAATCAATACGTTGGGACGTTTTCGTATTCGCGGAAACATGGAGGGAGGCAGCATGCGAAATATTCAGCACACGTCACGGGCACATGTGGTTTGGGGCTGGCGGAAGTCCCAGATCCAATGGTGTTGGGTTTTTGCTTCGCAAAAGATGGAAGCACAAATCGTTCAGAGCATTCTCCGAACGGGTCGCTGCTCTTACAGTTTGCGGGCCCGGCGTGGACATCGAGGTCATCGGCGTGTACGTGCCGACCACCAAGTATTCAGACGAGCGCGTGGACGCCGTTTACGATTGTGTTGACGATATCACGCACGACAGGGAGATTCGAGCTTGGGCCGAAGATTTCAATGCAGAAATGGGCCCAGGCACGACCCGGACATCTTCGGGCAACTCCGAGGCGCCAGTTGGACCGAACCCAACCGGCAAGCAAAATTTGAGAAGAGAAAGGCTGATACATTGGTGCATCGAGAATCGCTTGTACCTCGCGAACAAATTTGCCGACGGCAGAGTTGAACAGGTTTGGGCCCGCACAGATGGTTCTGCGCACAGTCAGCTTGATTACGTAGCTCTTCCACAGAAGTTCCGCCATCTCGCAGCCGGGTGCAGGGTCTTCGAGAAAATAGATGCTGGCTCAGACCGCCGACCCTTGCAATTGCGACTGTCTCTGCGCTTGGACGGAGCTCAGAAGAATCGCAATCGAAGACTGCACGGGGCTTGGGGGGCAAACGTGGATGAGGTCAAGTTCCGCTCCCTCTTGGCGGCGGATCTGCAGTGTGTTGAACATCGCGTCGAAAACCTCACAGAGCGAGCTCATTGTTTGGAAACGCATATATTGTCCGCCACGTGCAGATCTACTCCGTCAAGGCCTCGTGGCCGACGAGCCGACAGTTATGCGCCGCATATTTCGACACTCATTCAAGAGCGACGGGGTCTGCGAAGGCGGGCAGACTTGACCCCGTGCCAGAAGCGGGAAGCACGCCTCCGGCTGAGCAAGAAGATAAATAAAGAACTCTGGACCCGCGCCAAGCAGCAGAAGGAAGAGAAGTTCAACCGCGTCCTCAATCAACTTAGGGGCCTTCAGGAGCTGGCGTGAGGGGGCAAGGCGGCGAGGCGGAGTCAGACTGCTGCTGTGGTCGACGGCGGGGGAGCGCGCAAAGAGACAAGCAGCGAGATCGCCGAGGTTTTCGCTGCGTTCTACGAGGACCGCAGCCAGTCCAACTCGTGCGGGGCAGCCCAGCAAGCCGGAGAGCCTTGTCAGCTTTGACCTTGGACGAACTTGACACGGCCCTAAAAGCAATGAAAAACGGGAGGTGCAAGGGCGGAGCCGGCAGTGTCGCTGAGATGCTGAAATCTGGCGGAGACGCGCTGCACGGCCATATATTGTGATTCTTCAATGATGCATTGCTCCCTGACCAGGGGCCGCTGGCAACCTGGAGAAGAACGCGACTAGTCGTCATTTTCAAGAAGGAACCCCAAGCTGCCAAAAAACTACCGACCCATTGCTATTCTTCCCGTCCTCTACAAATTCTTTGCCCGCATGTTGTGCAATTGATTGGGGCCGCTCATCGTGAAGCACCAACCGCCGGACCAGGCTGCGTATCGCTCTGGCTACTCCACAGAGGGTCATCTGCTGACTCTCGCCATCTTGGTGGAGGCGTGCGAAGAGTGGCGGCAGGAGCTATGGCTAGCGCTGGTTGCCTTCGAAAAGGCTTTCGACACTGTCGAGCACGAGGCACTGTGGAAAGTGTTGCGCGACTTCGGCATCGAGGAGGGGTGCGTCTCTTTGTTGCGCAAGCTGTGTAGAGACCAGACCGCCACGGTGCTCGCAGGGGAAGAATCCAGGCAGTTCTCGTTGGGCAGAGGTGTAAAGCAAGGAGACTCGATCAGCGCCCTTCTTTTCTCGCTGTCATGGAGAGGTGCTCCTGGAGTCTGAAGAGCAAGTGGGGCTCTCTGAACAAGCGAAGAACTGGTCAGTATTCCGGTTTCGTCATTGACGATCCTTGCCACTCCTTGACAAACTTAAGATTCGCAGATGACGTGCTTCTCTTTGCCCAGAGCCAACGTGATGCGGCAAACATGCTGTCCCACCTACAGCAAGAAGCTGCGCAGTACGGGCTCATCGTTCACCCGGACAAGACCAAGGTGCTCGCGAATGTGGGCGTTAGAGTTGGTTCAACGGTGAGGATGGGAGACGCTAGTGTAGAAGTTGTGCCGCCCACTGGTTCTGAGAGATATCCGGGGCGCATGATCTGCCTGGGCGAGTGCCGTGACACAGAAATCGCCGATCGAATGGCAGCTGCGTGGAGAGCTTTTGCCAAGTTCAAGCGCATTCTATGTTCGAGGCGACGTGCTTTGGCTTCGAGACTCAAGCTGTTTGACACAGTGGTTGCGCCTGCTGCTCTGTGCGGGTCGTCAGCCTGGACTGTAAAGGAGGAGCGACTGCTGACCACATGGCGGAAGATGCTTCGTAAGATCGTTCAGGCTCCCAGACGCCGTCAAGAGACATGGGTGGAGTACGTGACCCGGCCCACCCGGGAGTGCGATAAGTACATGTAAAAACTCGGCAGAAGGGATCGGGCAGCTGTTCAGAAGGACCGCAAGAGCAATCTCGCTACTGCAACTTCCAATGACACCCGGGGCAAATGGAGCACGACCGCGCAGCGACCGCTGGGGCGACCCCGGAAGAGGTGGGGAGACGCTGATTGAGGCTTCTGCCAGCCCTTTGCAAATTTTGGCTCAGTGCATCCTTCTCCTTCTCTCTCCTCCTCTCTCTTCTGCCCCGTGCACCCTTTGCTCGCCGATTGCCAAGTTTGCCGGCTGTGCCGGGCCAAAGGCCCAAAGGCGCCGCCCGTCTGGGCGGAACGCACCCGCTCGCTCGCTCGCTCGCTGCCTGAAAGGGTCTGTCCTTCGTCTGCAGAGGAACTCGTCTGCTCCTTCCGAGGTGCACGCGTCAGATAAAACATCTCCAGTGGCTTTCGGCCCAACCCGCCACTATGCCTGGGTTGTGGTCCAGGGGCCTCTTGCATGCCTCTTGGGGCCGCTTGGGGAGTTTCTCGGGGGCTTGTTGGGGGCCTCTTGTGAGCCTACGATCGGCCTCTTGAGGCCACGTGGAGGCCTCTCGGAGGTCTTTGGTTCATCTTGGAGGGGATGCTTCCACTGGTCTGGTGGTGGCGCGCTTTCCTTGCCTCTCTTTGCGCCTTGTTGAGGGCCTCTTGGGCCTCTCTTGGGAGCCTCGGGGACCGCGTTGGACTTACATTGGGGGGTATTTGGGCCGAAACGAACGGTAGAGAATTCGGAGATCACTTGAGCATTCAACATTTTAAGCGATTTTAGCCTTCATGTGGATCCTAGTGCATCAAATACGGCCAAAGCGGCGCCCAAGACGGCCCCTGGATGGGCCTATGGGGCCGCCATAGCTCATGTTGGAAGTTTGGGCCCCCAAAAACGCTTCTGGACTTCAGGGAAAATCATACGACGCGTCCCCGGGGACTTCTTGGGGTCTCTTGGAGGCTTCCAGTGGGCCCTTTGGGGTTCTCTTGGGGGCCTCTCGGGGGTCTTGGGCCCATATTGGAGGGGAGGCTTTCAGCGTTTGGCGGGTGCCCGCTTTCTTGGCCTTCTTGGGGCTGTCTTGGGGCTATCTGGCGGCTGGCGGCCACCTGGTTTGTCTTAGACGCTTAAAGGCCGACAAGGCGAGACCGCGAAAGTCATGCAACGACAACTTATATGTCGATGGCTTTAGCCTGTTGGGCGGGTACCGAGCCCCCCCAAAACGGCGCGAAAGGCGCTCAAGACGGCTCCAGAAAGGTTCCCCTGGGACCATGTGTGGGCATGTTGTAAGCTCGGATTCCAAATCGCGATTCCAAGGCATCGGGACAAGTCGTGCGACGGTGCCCAGAAGTGGCCCTGAGCGCCCTTTTGATCTGTGGCCCTTTGAGACGCTTTCGATATTGAGGATCCCGGGGGGCCTGAGGACGTTCTATTCGGTGCCTGCGGCACTCGGGCGCATCTCCAAGGCATGCTTTCCGAGCGTCCCGTGCATGGGTTCTCCAGAGTGCGGGGCTAAGTGTTTGGGCTCAAATTTTCAGCATCGCAGCGCGCACCCCCTCAGCCTCCCACGAGCTGCAGCCAAGACCCAGACCTGCGAAGGCGTGCTCCTTTCAGTCCGTGGCCACGGGAGCGGCCGACTTCAACCCCCTCCCATGGGACCCACTTTTCGCCCTGAGGTGGGCTTCGATGGGCTTAGGGCCCGAGACTGGCCTCCGGAGGCCAGCGTGGGAGAGAAGCGCCCTGGACCGGAACGGAAAACACCCGAGGGTTCCCTTCCGAGCCCATTCGGCGTCTGATCGGCGGCGAGCTCCGAACCCCGACCCTCGCCGATCAACGAGTCAGGCAACTCGATGGGCGGCGGGGGCAGGGTTCGGAGTTCGTCGAACACGTGCTGAAGTCCGAACCCTGCCCCTGCCTCCCACAGACTCAGAAGAAGCGATAGCTGGTGGGGGTAGGGTTCGTATGCCGCCGCCTGATGGGGCTCCCGGGCAGTCTTCGCCAGAGGTCTGGGGCAGTCCACCACAATGGCGTCGCCCCGCTCCGCCGTCCTGACCGCGTCCGTGCTGCTCGCGTGCACCGCCCTGATGGCCGCCTTCGTGCCCTCGCCCGTGGCGTCCCGCCCCGCGGCGCAGACCGTGCCGGCGGCGGCGCTCAGCGCGGCGGCGATCGCGGCGCCCACCGCGGCCTACGCGGAGGAGGGCTCGAGCGTGTGGATCCCGGCGCCTCGGAGGAAGGAAACGCATGCCGACGCCGATTTTCGAGGATCAACAATTTGCATGAGCAGAAAGGCCCGATAGAGGCCCGAATGCGCGCCCCGCCTAGGAGGGTTCGAATTCGCAATTGGGGGTCCATCGCCGATCTATCGGCGATGCATCGCCGATTTCAGCTCCATGTTTCCCCCCCCTGAGCTGGTCCCCCCTATCGTTGCCCCTCACTCGTGCTCGCCTCTTTCTTCCGGGGGAAAACGTACGGCTCGAGATCGCCAGTACTCGGACTTGCCGACGCTTCTTGACGGGCCCGTCCTGGATTTTGACGGTCCAGTTTTCGTGGGGTCATTTCCCTGGGGGTCCCGTCAGGGCAACCCGAGTCGCCCAAACCTGCGTCTAGAGTCTCCCCGACTCTCGAAGGATGGACAACAGCATAAACGTAAACTTTCGGAGCTCCGCGCGGATTTCTGGGATTCTTCCCGCCAGGGGAAGGGGCTCCAGCGCCGATTTTTCCGAAGTCCGCGCGGAGGTCCGAAAGTTTATGTCGATGACGTTTTTTTCCTAACCATACTGTGGTGTTGCGCCCTCGTTTGGAAGAGACAGCGCCCCGCGTCCCTCCCACCTCCTCCTCCCGCCCCTCCCTACTCCCATCCCTGCCTCTGCCCTCCGCATGTTTGTGTTTCGGCACACCCAGTGCAACGCGAGGGGGCCCGTAGGGAGCTCCACCGAAGGCCCCAGCGGCAGGGTCCACATGGCGGCGCCGCCCCATTTTGGCGCACCCCTCACGCGGTTCGTAGCCCCATAGGGAGATCAGACGAATGGCGCAGTAGCAGGGTCCACATGGCGGCGCCGCTCAAGGTAGGCGCACCTCTCGAACGTTTCGTGGCCTCATAGGGAGACCAGCCGAGGGCCACAGTGGCAAGGTCCACATGGCGGCGCCGGTCCATTTGGCGTACCCCTCACACGGTTTATGAACCCATAATTTTCTCCACCGAAGGCCCCAGTAGCAGGATCCACATGGCGGCGCCGCCCCATTTTGGCGCACCCCTCAAATGGTTCTTGGCCCCATAGGGAGCTCCACCGAAGGCTTCAGTTGCAGGGTCCACATGGCGGCGCCGCACCATTGTGGTGCACCCCTCACGCGGCTCATAGCCCCATAGGGATCTTAGCCGAAGGCCCCAGTAGCAGGGTCCACATGGCGGCGCCGCCCCTTTTAGGCGCACCCCTCATACGTTTCGTGGCCTCATAGGGAGCTCGAAGGCCCCAGTGGCGACGTTGGCATGGCGGCGCCACCAGATTATGGCGCACCACTCACACAGTTTGTGGCCCCATAGGGAGTTCCACAGGAAGCGGTGCCACACACACAATCACACAAATGCACACACACACACACACCCACCCACCCACACCAATCCCCAGACCCACACCCACACCCACACCCACACTCACATCCACACCCACACCCGTACCTGCACCCGCACCCGCACTCGCACCCGCACCCGGACGCACACGCACGCACGCACGAACCACGAACACGCACACGCACGCACACGCACGCACACGCACGCACACGCACACACGCACACACGCGCACACGCACACACGCACACACGCACACACGCACACACACATGCACCATACACAAACAACACACAACACACAACACAACACACGCAACACAGACAACACACAACACAACACACAACACACAACACACACGCACGCACACACATAGACACACGCAGGCATGCAGGCACGCACGCACGCATGCACGTACGGGCATACACATACACACGTGCACACACGCACACACACACACCACGCACACATCACACCCAGACACACATAACACACAACACGCAGCACAACACATAACACACAACATACAACACACCAAACACATCATACACAACGCACACAGACGCACGCACCCACGCACGCACGCACACACAGACGCATGCAGGTACGCACGCACGCGCGCACGCACACACAAACACACACACACACACTTTTTGGCGTCGCGGCCCTGCGCGCAGCGACACCCACGCACACGCACACACACACTCATACACGTACACATACACTAACACACAGACACCGACTGACACATCCACACACGCACACGCACACACGCACACACACACGCACACGCACGCACACACGCACACACACACACACGCACGCACAAACACACACACACACGCACTCACACACACCACACGACACAACACACAACACACAACACAACACACAACACACAACACACACAGCGCACAACACACAACACACAACACACAACACACAACACACAGCACACACCAGACAACACGCAACACCCACCACAACACACAACACACAACACACAGCACACAACACACAACACACAACGCAGAGCGCATAGCACACAGCACACACACACACATTCACAAAACACCACAAACCACGAAAGTGCGCCAGTGGATCTCCCTGAATACACTAAAGGGGAGGGGGGTCCAGAACCCCCCCCCTCCCCCTCCCCCCCTTCAAGGGGGGGGGGGGTTCCGACCCCCCCCCCCCTCTCTTGAAGGGGGGGGGGTCTGGACCCCCCGCCCCCCTCCCCCCCTTGGCGTTGGACCCCCCCCCGTGTAGGGAGTACGGAGTACGGAGTTGGGAGTAGGAAGTGGTGAGTAGTGAGTAGTGAGTTAGTGCGTAGTGAGTAGTGCGCGAGTAGGGAGTAGGGAGTAGGGAGTAGTGAGTAGTGAATAGTGAGTAGTGTGTACTGATAAGTGAGTAGCGTGTGGCGAGTTGTGAGTAGTGAGTAGTGAGTACTGAGCACTGCGTAGGGAGTAGGGAGTAATGAGTAGTGGGTAGTGAGTTAGTGCGTAGTGAGTAGTGGGTGGCGAGTAGTGATTAGTGAGTAGTGAGTAGTGGGTAGTGCGTAGTGCGCTGTGAGTAGTGAGTAGTGAGTGGTGAGTAGTGAGTAGTGAGTAGTGAGTAGTGAGTAGCGAGTAGTGAGTAGTGAGTAGTGAGTAGTGAGTAGTGAGTATTGAGTAGTATGTAGTGCGTAGTGAGTAGTGAGTAGTGATGAATAGAGAGTAGTGGGTAGTGGCAGTGGGTAGTGAGTAGTGAGTAGCGAGTAGGGAGTAGCGAGTAGTGAGTAGTGAGGAGCGAGTAGGGCGTAGTGAGTAGTGAGTAGTGAGTAGAGAGTGGTCAGTCGTGAGTAG